GTTTGGTTGGTAACCGCCATTCCCCAATGCGATCAAGTAGATTGAAAGGTAGAACAATGTGATCTCCATCGTGGAATGTGTACCGCAAGGTGTGACTTCATCCCCGCAACCTCTTGGTCTGATCAAGAACATGTAGGATGATAGCGAGAGCGATGAAAGTCCCTGCGTTTTCACATTCCAAGAAAGTGTTATAATCAGCAACCGTTAGTCTTTAAACACAACACCATAATTGATGTTACTTACGATGACAAAAATGACTTGGAAGATTGCACAAGTCTTGTAACGACCCCAGTAAGAATCGCTGAGAAATGCTCCGACCAACGAGAAGATGTAAACAGTTCCTGTCCATTTGCTAACGTTGTTCGCTGCATCTGCGTTGTTTTGCTGCAAAACGCGAGTTAGGAACAGCACTAGATTCACTCCAACTCCAAAGAACGCTAGCGTCGCCAACCCCTGGTTCACTGTTAACCGGTCCATTTAACAAAAGTCGATTAGAAACTGGTTTGCATGCTACCCAAAATTATTTTTTATTGGTATAATGTTAACACAAGCTATTGATCTGAAAGGAACCGGAACTGATGAATGAATGGTAATGATTGTGAATAATTGAAACTATGTTCCGTGTTCGTCAAGATGATGTTAACATTTACTTGGTTGGAGAGTATCTAATGACTACTCTATAGTAGTTCCACCTTCTAACGAAATTAAAATTTTATTTGATAGTGAAATTTCACATGCGAATAACAAATCGGCAACCAAGTTTTGTTAGAATAGGTAGACTCTACTAACTTATCAAACAAGAAAAAAAGAAGACCAACTAAATTTTTTTTTTATTACTATTATTATTTCTACATACTATTAAAATATGTTATGATTTTTCTTTATATAGAGAAAATGTTGGGTTGTTGGGAAATATTCTAATAAAATTAATATTATTTTATAATCAAAATTGAAAAAGTTAAAGAGGAAAAGAGGAACTTTCTGCAAATAAAAATGTGAAGAAGTGCACGTGGCAGAAGCTAACGTCTTGGAAAGACGAGATGGGTAATTACGTGTAGGGCAACATAATTCCACTAACACATCCTTTCTTTGTACTTATATTGATATCTATATTATTACAACTGTGTCGTCTTCCTCAAAATAACTTTTATTTTTTGTTTGGTTAAATTTTAGAATCACTTACAGCTCTAAAAGTTTTCAATTTTAGTTATTCTAAAATGACAAACTACATCCGTATAACTCAAACACTCAATCAATCATTCATATCCTTTTTGTTAAATAATCATTCATACTATTACATCATATTTTCTGCGTTTATGTTTTTCTTTCAGAAAATTACCGAAAAGTATTAAAGTAACCGTAGGTTTAATTTGAAGATAAATGGTTACATCATAGCCATATAAGTAATAAATATATATATATATATATATATGCATATTGTCATGTGGTTGGTGTTTTAACCGCGACATGCAGGCTACGTTCGAACACATGGATATGTCTTGACACGTTACGTAAAACTCGAAGTTAATTTTTAATGAGTTCTTTTTTGTGGTTTCACTTTCCTAGTTTCTGATAACTTATTACCTCAAAGATAAGTACGCATGTCAATCAATCTGCAGCCGTTTAGAAATATATCATATCATAATAATATACGTTACATATAGGCCGTGAAGAACAAAAGAAAGGTTTACTGAACCTGTAAATATTAAGAATATTTTTATTACATAGTTCTTTTTACTTTCATAGTTCTTTACTTTTCTGTTCAAATATCGATTAGAGAAAAGAGACATACCGAGAATGATGATGCCAGCAACCCATCTGCCCGAGTTGGAACGAATAGAGGGACGACCATAATAGTCCACAGTTCCATCTCTTGTTTCTTCTTCCACTTCTCCTTCTTTCTTCTTCATCTGCATTTTAATTTATATCAGTTCTATAAACATAGATAGAAAGATGCATATATGTTGACAAAATAAACGAAAGAAAGATGCATATATATGTTATAACATTCTTGTAGTAAGTTTTAAAAATAACCCTTTTGTAGTATGTGTTATTTACCACCTTTTGCCCAGTTGATATGGAGAAGATTCATAAGTACGATAGTTTTTTTTTATTTCCACCTTTTTCTTGTTTTAGTTTAAATTTGAATCTGTATTTTGACGTGATTATTATAGAATCACACTTTTTGCATTGCCACGTATTCTCGTTTTAGACACAATTTTCTAGATTCTTTGGATTTATTCTCAAGCACCACAAAAAAAGAGAGAACTGTTACAAACGACGATTAGCTATATTTAAAATGGCAATATTATCGACCGTAATAAAAAGCTTGTCGATTCAAACAAGATTCTAAGGGAAAAAATAAAATAAAAGATGTTGAGCTAAATGTATTTTGCACATAAAGATCGTGACATTCCATTGCATTAAGCATGCCCTTTGATCAGGCTCTTCTTGAGCCATCAATGAAAAAGTTTACTATAAAGTACATTTTTTATAAATTCATTATAAGTCACATACGTAATTCAAGAAACACGAACCTTAATCATATAAACAAGAATTTCTAAAGAAGAAAAGTTAAGGCCCAATAATTCAAACTCTGAGTAAACAAAAGAAACAAATGAAGATAATTACTTACATCTTTGTTATATATCTCTAGGCAAGACATTTTTGATGATATTGGATTATATGTGCTTTTTATAAGAGAATAAAAACGAAATGGATTTTTGGTGTTGTTTAAAGTGATAGGAGAGAATTATAACAAAGGACGATCTAAAGAAGGAAGAAGCAGAAAGAAACTTCAAGCTTGGATGCTGTAGAGAAGATGGGATTGAGAATAAATAGAAGTTTGAAGATGATTTGAACGGTCCTGATTTTACGTGGGACACTCACATGCCCAATACTTATTTTGTTTATATTTCCTTTACAATAATACACTAATATAAGTTCGATGGTAGAAAAAGAAAGAAGCTTTTTTGCACCAACTTTTCAATTAAATTAAAAGCTCAACAAGCTTAGACGATTACAACCGGAAATATATTCAACAGTAAAATATAATCGGTAAAACTACAACACGACGAACATAGATGTGGCATAAGAAAAAGAAACTCATATGGCAGTTTCACTTAGAATTTTAAAATCCATGCACGAAAGATCACACTAAAGTCGGATATAAAACCGACATTGAAATATCCATTCCCAAGAGTTTGATAACGATCAGGGCCGTCTTTGGATATGTGCCCAGAATGCAATTGCATAGGGTCTACAAAATTTCACCAAAAATTTAGTTAATAATTAGAGTTCTTTAAAAAAAAAATTAGAACCTTATTTTTTCTAAAATTCTTTTGATTGTTATTGAAATATATTAATTTTGCACTGGACCCTTATAAAAGATGAGACAGACCTGATAACGATAGGAAATTATTTCTGATGAAAATCGAAAGTTGGCCAGCAAGAATTGGGAAGCTACAGAACCATAGCCATGACAATAACAAAGAAACCTTGATTGTTTAGACTTGGAGATAACACTCCAATGAATAATATATGACAAAACAAAGGGTAGAAGACCCTGAACCGAAAACGTGTTATACACTCTAAGATTTGGATTATATCCCAAATCAGAAGCTAAGCCTAGATAGATCACATATTAGGGCTTTACTGAGAGTGGAGATTACGCGCCTAAGAGACAAAATTACTGTCGAAGGGAGTCCAGTGATGTTCATCGTCACAGCTGAAATATACTCTGAAAGAGCTGAGGCCGTGTCTTAGATGAAGTGTAACACCGTTGAAGGAACTGCGGCAGTTGAGAGGCTGAGGAGCGGTAGTGTAAGAGGGAGGCAGGCACAAAGATAGAGCCGGTGAAAGAGTATTGTTGCTGATATGATGTTGCTGGCGAGGCTGCATGGAACAGTGACTCCAAAGGAAGGGAAGAGTCGGTTCATTCACAACTGTTACCAGTAGGAGGAAGAGCGTGGAGGGTACGGTGTAGTGGAGGTGAGATGGTTAGTGAGAGAGCGGAGCAAATCCAAAACATTGTGAGAGCAGAGCTGGCTCTGCCGAAGGTAATCATGGACTGAGATGGTGTGGTGTAGCGGAGACAATGAAAAGAGCAGATCGAGCTCATCCTCAGGTTTAGTATATCCGGAGGAGTTGGCGATGACGAGAGGAGCGAGAGCAGAAGAGATGGTGACAATGAAGAGAACAAGCTTAACTTCCACGAGAAAATGAGCTACGTGACGAGATGATGATATGGTAGGACGCAAGGTGACAGTAGTGAACTACGCGAAGAGTGGGAGAAGAGACAAGGGGAAACGCCTTGTCTAGACATAACCAAGTACCACGAAGCTCCAAACCTTTGCTTGGAAGATAGATATCTCTCAAAACATTTGTATCTTTTATGACAGCTAATCACATGAACACAGCTGTCACAAGGAATTTTAATCGGTTCTATATGTGTGTAAGCGTGGTTTTAGCAGCTACACCCTCTCATTCAAACTTATTCCTTATGTCTAGTATATACACTAACATGGATTATCTTTTTTTAGAGGTAGAATAGTATTGAAAGATTCCAAAATGAACAAATGCCCTTATCCATAGATAATTTAATACTTTTAGAAAGAAATGAATGATAAACTATTAAGAAAAATTGATAGCGACCACTTGCGCTTACCAGACATGTAGAAAGAAAATACCCAACATAGTTCATGAAATATAAACCAATTGCTTATTTGACTCAAACACACATAGTAACATCTCAAATCTTATGCTTAGAGAATATCTGCTTGGAGAATGATTTGTGGATCTCTATATTGATCTGTAGTGGATGTAGATAAGTTTGGAAAGATATCTTTCTACAAACACAACTAATGGGTATATAAGAAATAAAAAATGAAGAGAATCTAAATTGCATTTAGAGTTTGAAGCATTCGATCTTTCCATTATTAGATGGTTTGGGTAATAAGATCGGAATAGCCAACAAAACAAACACTTACCACTTCACATTGTGATTAATGATCTTCCGAAATCTACATTTAAATTTTCAATCTACAAATAAGTTTGTCTACACGACCTAATTAAACGTAAGCATTCCTTCAATTTCTATGTTTTATCTTTGTTTAATTCATGTGCCTAGTGAACTTTATTTTGTTAATGTTACCTTAAATCAATGATATAGACATTAAATACCTTTTTCTTTTCTTAGATTTCATTTTTTCAGCTTTAAGTCTCCATTCTTACTCGGGTAAACAAAAACGATATATCAAAATCATTATGATTAACATCGAATTGGACACTGACACGAAAAACATACAATTGAACAAAGGTGGTACTGGTGCAATTGCATTTATAGGTGTAAATTTTATAACCAAGTTAATTTTCATTAATTGTTTTTTGCTCTTAAAATCGCTAGTCAATATAATTAGCAATCAATAAGCCATATGATTAATCAGTTGACCTATTTGTTGATAAATCGACTAAATTAACAGGTGTTTAGATTAATTAATCAGTAGATGATCAACCTGAAACGAGTCAACTTCTCCTGTATCCCTATTGTTTTTAGAGCTAATCTCCTATGGGTTTGCGTGATCTCTTATACCCCTATTTCATAATTCTTTTTTTTATCAAAACCTAAACCCTCAAATTAAATTCTCCCCGGTGTTCAAAACTAAACAACCCCCCCCCTCCAATGGATGACTGAACCCATAGTCAAATATTTAAATTCTTTAGTTTTCAAATTCAAAAAAAATATTTTAAAATCGTTTTTAATCATATTTTCATGATTTTCGTGAAAATATGAAAAAACATTTTTTATTTTTGAAATATTTTTATCAAATTCTATAAAACAAATAAAAAATATTCACGTTTCAAGATTAATTTTATGTTTTTTCGTTTGACATATAAAATCAAAAGAATAAATGTGTCCTAAAGAGATTAGAGAATGAGATTTATAGATATGAGAGGAATTGCCTAGCTGGAAACATTGGTAGCAGCCAAGAATTTGAACAAAAATATAAAAAAAAATGACCAAAAATATCTCATTTAGAATTGGAGATTTCTCATGTAGGCTTATATATAGGGAAGGCATTTAGATAATATGACGTTTAAAACAGGTTGCACGGATCTTCTAAAAATGACAGCATCACGTACAATCTGGTTGGTGTTTGCCTCCCGATGGAATTGTTTTCGTCTTACTTACCTTCATATCCTGCTAGCTCAATTGTAAACCCAACTTGTTGGCCGGCAGAGGTAGGTTTAAAGATCATCTATTTGGCTTGAAAAACAGGAAATAAACTTTTTTTAGAATGGTTGAAAAGAAAACGGAGGGTTTTCCTTGGGAACCAATTGATCGAAAAGATCCAATAGCTTTTATGTGAAAAATATTCTACAATGAAATCTAGATAGAGCATAAGTAATGTATATAAAAATATGATTCAAACTTAATAAAGAAAATCTATAAAAAAAACCCCAACTATATTTTATTTTCCAATACTCAATTTCTCTAGCTAGTTTAATGTGTTAACTTATAATTTTATTTATTTTAACACACTAAGATTGCAAATATAGGTTGTTAAATTTTAAGTATAAATTAGCATATTGTTATAGAATTTCATCAATCATATTGCAAATTTAACAACATATTAAGCATATTTTGTGAATCTTAATAAAGAAAATTCTATAAAAGAAGCTCCATGCTGTATTCTTCATCCCCAAAATGACAATTATCTACTTTGTGTTCACTCACTATTTCACACAAAACCCACATTTTCGGTTAACATTACAGTTTTTTTTTATAAAAGTTAAACAATATATTTTCTGAATAAATTGGTACTTCACTATTTTCACAAGATTTAATTAGCCAATAAATAAAATATATATAATATATCTATTTCTCTGCTTTAATTAATGTTTGAGAAAAAAATAA